TATATATATATATATATATATAATAATAATAATAAATTATTAGATTTACCATTCAAAAAATTATGTACTTAGCCTCGTTTAATTTTTTACTTAGACCTATCTAATTTTGGATTGTGTAAGTTCAATTCAAGTTTATAATAATAATAATAAAATAAAAAAAAAAAGAGCACGATTTCGAGCTGCTCCTGCTCATCAATGGCGGAGGTTGCAGTTTTTTGCAAGAGCTTGGAGATGATAACATGTTCAAGTGTGAAGTGACATTTGTACCCTCACTTAAATAAATAGGTTTTTGGACATTCCATATTTCTAATGTCTTTTCAGTTTTTATTTGTTATTGGGCTCGTACGTTGAGAAAAGTTTATCTCACTAGATCATATAAATGGGTTGTCGTGTAGTTTATCCCACTTAATTTATAAGATATGATTTTTTTTTTCTAATCTTTCTTTTAAATTATACCAAAATTACAAACTTAAGTTACAAATATATTTCAAAGTTAATAATTTATTATTTATTAACAAAGTTTATATGTAATATATCACATTAATCATATGTCTTCATGAATTTCAATTTGACATCTATATTATACATACAAAATAAATAAATATTTTTTTATTTTTTTAAATTAATATTTATAAGCAATTTAATTTTAATTATAAAAATAAATAAATAAATTTATTTATCCTTATAGTTAAAATTAAATTTCTTATAAATATTAATTTACAAAAATAAAAATATTTAAACTAACTTAATTACAAAGTAGTTACCTGATATAAATTAAAAAAGATTATAAGATGATAAATTTATAAGTGACGGTGTCATTTTAAATATATATATTAAAAGTATTTAAAAATTAAAATATTTTTTGTTGTTATTATTATTTAGTTAAATATAATTTTCTTAACAAGTACTCATGCGGTACACGGGTATTGTACTAGTTTGCTATTAATACACAAATAAAACACCTCGTCATCGCTTTATAAAATTGACTAAAATAAACAAAAAAATATATATCAAACTACGATAAACGGACATGAAAATCACTGTAAAATGCATGTAAAAATGACGCATGTCATCGACTCATTTAATAAACTTTACAACATAGACCGAAACCCAAAACTCTTACCGAGTTGATCCCTAACACTCTCGACTCGACTTGTTTGATAGAAAAACTCAATTAGTTGCTTGATCTGAGCTTGTGGAAATATACAAGCTAGCCGAGCTTGAGATTTCACATGTCAAACAAAACTTTGTAACATGACAACTCAATTCAAATAACATCAGTACATTTTAGCCCTAGGTGAAAATAATTTCTGGCTACGCCCTGACTGAAACATTCTTCAGTCAATTTGCTTGTGATCAGACTACGCCACAAATGGAAATATACTCATACATATGTGACACTTT